ATACAGAAGCCTGATGATGGCAGATGAGATTCTGCTGAAACGTTGCTACAACTTTAAAAGCACCACTACTATGACGTGGGAAAATACCCGAACAAAGCTGAAGGCTATATATATATATATATATATTTAAAAAAAACATTTTTTGGCCTTTTCTTTTAATAGAGAACAAGGAAACAAAGAGAAATCTCTGCGGACTTTGATCACGCCAGAAGGAAGAGTTTTGAATGTAAATGAAACCAAGTATGTAAAAAAAGATACAATTCATGAACCATTTTGAGCACTAAAGGGTGGGCAACCCATTTCCTTTCATAGGCTAAATGAGGAACAAAATATAATGTTTTTTCAATTCCCTTCCCAAGTTTAGTTACTGGACCTTTGTTTCAGAGTCTGCCCCGTGAGAACAGAAGTCCAAACTATATTATATCTGATCAACGCTTTTGTACATGTGTGAGAACTTTGGACACATGTTCAAGAGGCAGGACCTTGAGGACTTAACCTTGACAACTTTGATGATACACTCTTGACCACTCCCTTGACTGTTCCTCAGCGTTGGATGCTACTGAACTCCACACATATGCTTCTCTGTCCTCTAAAAAGTACAAATCAGATATATGTTGTTCTCCTCCATTCTATTCTCCATGTAGCCCAAATTAATTATTAAAAATAAAAGGACTGTGTAGTAATCTGGATTCAAAGGGCAAAAGGTGATCCCCGTAACAGGAAGATGTATTTATTTACTTACTTATGAAATTTATTTGCCAACTGTCTCACTGTCTCGAGTGACTCTGTACGGCTTAAAATAGTATAAAACCATAGATATTTCTGTCAGAGTTTGCAGCAATCCAACCAGCACACAAGTAAATAATTCAGCAAGATTCATTTAAATAAGAAACTTCTTTATATACAATAATATAAAGCAGATGCATGTACATGATACCCATGCCAGAAGCAATAGAAGCAATAGAAGCAATATTTACAGAAGCAATATATAACACAGAAGCAAGATAATACAGAGGCACTCATACATATACAGATCAGTGAACCTAAGCCATACCCAGCTGTCTACAAGGAATATGGATCCTTCTGTCCCCACTGTGCTGTCGGAGCTGAAGAAGCTTCTTGGATGAGAGGTGAAACGTCTTCAAAGAAGAAACAAGAAAGTCCAGTTGCCTCCTGAAAAAGCAACTTTGGGACTTTTTCCTGTAGTTGTGTGACAGCAAAGGGAAGCTATTGCAAAGGAAGGGAAAAGGTAAGGTGTTTCCAGCAAGTGTCATGTGTACATCCATGTGCCCTTGGAATCACACGTCACCTTTCGAATCCAAGTTGTTGCCCGGCATTAAAATATAACACTTAACTTTACTGCCACTTCTGTCTCGCAAAGGAAAGGATGACAACTTCTCAACGTGGGAACAAAGGAGAGCAACAAGGAAGAGACATTGCTATCTATCTTCAGGATGTCTCGGGGAACTGAGCATTTTATCACTGTGCTGGAGGAAAAAATAATACAGTGACAGTTGCACAAAATAGAGCTGTAATGTAATGGCTCAAAACTTGATGTTGACAGATGAGAATTACAGTTGTGAGAACTGAAAACACAGCCGAGAAAACTCTGCGGAGCTCCAATAATTTGAGTTGTCAGTAGGGCTATCTTTTGTTAATACAGGTATGAGCACCTTTTGGGAGGTCAGAGGCCTCAGTTCAGCCCCCTGTACCTCCAGAGGCTCAAAGTGATACTTGTGAAAATGGTACTAGCAGCGTGAGACTGACAGTTTTAATGGGTAGAAACTGTGAACGTATTTGTACCGAGGACAGACTGTGGTGTGAAGCACCAAGCCCTGATTTCATTTTGCTGTTTCCCAGGCTGTAAGAAGGGAAACGGGAGCTGCAAGACTATCCTGAATTTGAAACAATTGCTTCTCCCAACTTACAAATAAAGAGATACAGTAAATAAATTTTAAAACATCAGAGCAACAAGAGGAAACCCTCCATATAATATAATTAATATAATATAATATAATATTATAATATAATATAATATAATATAATATAATATAATATAATATAATA